TGTGTAGCTACTACATATTCTGCCTATGTTGTGGACGTAGCCACAACTGACTGCAATTTTGAAACCCAGCTTACAGCTCCACCAACAACTTTGAACACATATCTTGTAGTAGATTTGCTTTTATCCAAATCCCATGCATAGTCAAAATCGACATACTCATTGATAAGTAAGTTTGATCCTCCGTAACATAATGCAACATTTGAGGTCCCTTTGATGTATCTCAGGATCCTCTTTACTGTATTCCAATGCTCTTTGTGTAGATTCGCCATGTACCGACTAACCACTCCCACTGTTTGTGCAATGTTTGGTCTTGTGCATATCATAACGAACATTAAACATCCCAATGCTGATGCATACGATACTCGAGACATCTCCATCATCTTTTCTTTACTGCTAGGACTCATACTGGAGGATAATTTGAAGTTAATAGGATGAGGGGTAGAAATTGGCCTACAATCTTGCATGTTGAATCGTGACAAGATCTTCTTCAAGAAATTCTTTTGTAAAAGCCAAATCTTCCTATTACTTCTGTCTCGGTGAATTTGCATCCCTAGAATTTTGTTTGCTGATCTCAAGTCCTTCATTTCAAATTCCCTAACTAGTTGTGCCTTCAATTATTTAATATGATCTTTGTTAGGTCCTGCAACCAACATGTCATCCACATATAACAACAATATAACAAAATCGTTATCACCAAACCTCTTGAAATAAGCGCAAGGGTCTGCGTTAAGTCTATTGTATCCAAGGCACATAATGAAGGAATCAAATCTCTTACACCAACAACTCGACGCATGCTTTAGACCGTACAAAGATTTGTTCAACCTACAAACCAAGTTATTTTTTTCTTCTTCAAAACCTTTAGGCTGGAACATATAAATCTCTTCTTCAATATTATCATGAAGAAAAACTGTTTTAACATCTAACTGCTCTAGATGTAAATTCAATGTAGCACACATTGTCAAAACTACTCGAACTGTTGTTAGTCGATTCACATGAGAAAAAATTTCATTGAAATCAATTCCTTCTTTTTGAGCATATCCTTTGACCACCAGTCTTGCACGATACCTCTCCACTTGATCGTAACCATTTCGCTTGATCGTCACCATTTCGCTTGATTGTCACCATTTCGCTTGATTTTGAAGACCCATTTATTACCAATTGGCTTCTTTCCTGTAGTATTGGCACAAGGTCCCATGTATTATTTTTATGAAGGGCTTCAATTTCTTCTTGCATCGCCATCATCCATAGTGAAACATCTGAGATGTTTATTGCCTCCTGGCATGATTGCTCACAGTCCTCTGTTAAAAGACAGTATGCAATATTTCATTCTATAACATAATCTGAGTGCCAATTGGGACGTCTTCTCACACGATCTGATTGACGAGTTGTTGGAGCTTCAGAACTCTCTGGTTCTTGTTCATCATGTGCTGGTTCTGCTTCAGAAGAATCTCCTTGTTCAACTTCATTTTCCACATGTATATGCGTAGTCTTTGACTTTTCAGTGCTATCATCGTCTTCTTTTCTTTGTAGCTTATAATCACTTTGTAGGCAGTGGGATCCCACAAGCGATACCCCTTTACACCATCAGCATACCCCAAGAATTTGCATTTCCAGGATTTTAGATCCAACTTTGAAATTTCTTGGTTGTTGTACATCACGTATACAACACTTCCAAATACATGGAGGCTTAAATAATCAACTAGTTTACCAGTCCACATCTCCATTGGTGTCTTCAGCTCTATTGCAGTTGATGGAGCTCGATTCACCAAATAACAGGCGGTATTGACTGCTTCTGCCTAGAATGATTTTCTAGGCTTGCATCCCTCAACATTGCTCTTGTTCTTTCTAATAATGTTCTGTTCATCCGCTCTACTACTTTATTTTGTTGAGGAGTGTTCGCAACTGTGAACCGTCTTTTGATGCTTTCTTTCCTGCAAAATTCATCAAATTTTTCACTTGTATATTCTCCTCCATTATCTGTTATGAAACACTTGATCTTATTTCCAGAATCAAGTTTCACCCGTGCTTTGAAGATTTTGAAAATGGAAAACACATCTGACTTACTTTTAATAGGGTACACCCAACATCTCCTGGAGTAGTCATCAATAAATGAGACAAAATATTTTACTCCGCCTAGGGATGTAATTGATGCTTGATATACGTCAGAATGAACCAATTGTAGAACACTTTTGCCTCTAAAATTTGACGTGTTGAATTTCAATCGGTGCTGCTTACTTGTTATGCAATGCTCACACAAAGTAAGTGATACCTTTGTTAAGCCTGGAAGTAACTTTTGCTCCACAAGGACTTTCATTCCTTGTTCTGATATGTGTCCAAGTTTTTTATGCCATATCATTGCAGAATCTGAACTACATGAGGCAACAGAGGCTTCTGCTTCTAGCAAAGTCTCCCCCTTCATCATGTACAAGTTTGCAGCTATCTTTTCGCCTTTCAGCACCACAAGCGCTCCACGGAACACATTCATGATTCCTTTCCGTGTTTCAATCTTGCTTGCATTATTATCCAACAATCCGTAGGATAATAAATTTTTCTTCAGGCCTTTCACGTGTCGCACATCTCGAACAACTTTAATTGTTCCATCATACATCTTCAATTTGATGGTTCCCACGCCAACGATCTCTAAGGCATGATCATTGCAACTATACACAGATCCTCCTGATACAAGTTCATAATGATGTAACCATTCTCTTCTTGAGGTCATGCGATATGTTGCTCCCGAATCAATGAGTCATATATCTGCAAATCTTTTTCTACCTTCCACGGTGGTTGATGCTTCACAACATAGAGCATCTCCATCATCTGAAGTGTTCGTGGTATTGTCTTGTGGATTGAAGTTTTTATTTAGACTCCAACAATCATTCTTCAAGTGACCCTTCTTTCCACAATTGTAGCACTTTAAATTCTTCTTGCTCTTCGACTTCGATCTACCATGTTTGTAACTGCTGTTTTGGTCACGTTATGTTGATCTCCCTCTCATCGTTGTCAACGTTTCTGCTTGTTGCAGATTTACTTGTATGTCTTCCTTGTTCTTGCGCCGATTTTCTTCTTGTAGAACAACAGCTGCAACGTTATCGAAGACTAGACTGGTGACATTATTGTTTGTCAAGTTGATGATGAGTTGATCATACGAATCAGGTAGACTTTGAAGTACAAGTTCAGCACGTTCTTATTCTCCTATTGTACATCTTAAGGATGTAAGCTGAGAAAATAACGTGTTTAGTGTGTTTAAGTGCTCCGTCACTGAAGTAGATTCTGGCATACAGAGAGTGTACAATTTCCTCTTAAGGAAAATTTTATTGTGCAACGATGTGACCTCGTACAATTTAGTGAGATGATCACATATCTCCTTAGTTGTCTTCTACATATCTCCTTAGTTGTCTTCTTCTCCTTGATGCTTGACAATACTTCATATGCTAATGCTAAATGAAAATTTTTCATAGCATTCCCGTCCATTTTGATCCATTTGTTCTCATATGTGAAATTTACCAGCATTTCACTGATAGCTGTTAGACAACCGTCTTTCCTCAGGATGACCTTCATCTTCAATTTCCACAATGAGAAATTTCTCCCATTAAACTTTTCAATATCAAATTTCATTGCCATAACTTCTATTACGGATAGCTCCCACTATTTCACTATCGTGAATAGTTCTATAAAACCTTCAAAGAATGAGTAATACATGCTTACTTTATTATGTTGAATGATACACCTTTTGATAGGAACCACAAAGACAACAAGTAGATATTACACACTCTAATCTGGCTCGGATACCAATTGTTGCGGAATACGTCTATCAGATAGAGAAAAATCGCAACTGATAATTTGAGAAAATAAAAATGAAGACAAAAGAGACACGAATTTTACGTGAAAAACCCCTAAATAATATAGGGTAAAAACAACGGGCAACGGTAGAAGATTTTTACTATAAGAAAATATGAATTACAACTTCTCTCGATCTACCAAGGAGAAAACAATAACAATTCTCTCTTGATAAAAAGAAGAAAACTCTAAAAAAAACTCTCTAAATTCTCTAGTATTGAGAGAAAGCTAGAATGATTTGGGATGGTTTTGAAACTAAATGAGTTAGGGTATTTATAGTTGAAGCTTAAGGATTAATTTTGTAAATACCCTAAAGTACAATGACTAAAATTTAGCTTTTACCATTGTCAAAAAAACAACCCATTTTTCTGTGCATTTAATTATTTGCACTTTCGATGGAAATGTGCAACCAATTTAGACTTTGGAATTTCAACAAAAACGTGTTGCAAATGGTAGGGGGACGCAAACCCTAATACTGCTACGATGTAATCTCTTATGGGTTGCTGGTATCTGTTATACCCTACAGCTTCCTCATAAACCAAATTCTTCTTCTGTTTATGATTTCGTTTTGTCCTAATACAATGAGGAAACTTACTATTCCATCACCATATAGTGGTATTCTGAATATGAAATAAATTTCTACCTTCAAATCTACACTTCAACGTAGATAATTTCTAGTAAACAAAATTAGACACCGAGACTCCAGACTTTCTACATATATTGAACTTTAATAATTCTCAATGACTGATAATCTTTCTAAATCTGAAAACATGGTACAAACAACAAGTTCTAACCTACCTAGGTCGAGCCAGGTATATAGTGAACATCCATAAGCTACAATATTTCATCAAAATAATCTCTCTATAGAATGAGAAATAAATACAGGACACAGATATCCTACACGCCACAATTGAAAAATCATGCAACAAGGATCTTTAATTATGAGTCTACCTAATTTCCAAGGAAACTTTTTCACAGGTTCACTTACTTGTAGAATGCATGATAGAGATGTTCCTTTCTATTATGCACATTAGCTGAAGAATAACATGCTGTAAAGTATCCCTGAGGTGTGATTTACAATCTTAAATGTATAAACAACCAGCACAAGTATGACCATTCACATAATATAATCCTGGAACAGAGATAAAAGAGAAATATACTCAACATATCAATCATATACTCGTATTTCCCTTCATTCTGCTAACAAATTTACACCAAGAGGGATATATTATGCCAAAGGACACCATAGCACTACTTAATTTGTATAACAAATGAATAAGCCCAACTATAAACCCTAAACAACTTGATATCTCATCATCGTCTCCTAAAATTGTTTATTTGGAATTAGTAACTTTGATGAGATGGCAAACATATATAATTTACTGTTCTGAATAAGAAATTACACACTATCAATGCATCAGACGTATACACTTGAAACAAAATATTAGCCTAATCTATTATAACAAAAGGATCAAAATGGTAAGCACTTCATTTTGAATGATTCATGGAATCAAAGGAATTACTGGACCTAAAATCCCTCACCTCTTTTGCGTTCCAATCTTCATCAACAATGATTTTCAGCAATTCGACTGCCTTACTCTTTCCTTTAGCACTTCCATTCTTCGTCAAGTCAGTAATCCCTTCGATAACTTTAGCACCCATATCCATAACTTCTTTCCTCCCCTTCTCGCCGCCGCAGCGAGCCAAGTTCAGCAGAGCCGCCACTGCGTTTTCCCTTATTCTTTCACTGGCTCCAGTCCCTTCATCCAACAAATCACCCAAAACCCTAATCCCACCCGCCTTCCTCATCGCTTCTTCACTCTCTTCGCACCCCGCAATCTGCGCCAGCACCGCCGTGGCATCCTCCACGATCCCCGTCCTCGCATCCCTGACTATCAACGCCACCAAAGCGGGAACCGCACCGAGACCCACCAAACTTGCCCGATTCAACTGGTAGAGCGCGATCCCAAACAAAGCCTTCAAAGCATCCTTAATCGACCGAGGCGGCGCGTTGTTTGCAGTGATGATCGACAGCAGTGAGTAAAGAATATCACGTTTCGATCCAATTATCGGACGGTAAGACTCCTCCGCAATGAGAAGGCTGTGAAGCGTGGCGGCGCAAGCCTGAACCGCGGTAGGAGAAGGTGAATTACTGAGCGCGTGAGATAACGCGTCTAGAAAGCCGCGGGTGGACATGAGAGAAGCGCGCGAAGTAATGGAGAGATTCAACAAAATGGCGGCGGCGTTTTCTTGAATGGTTGGAGAAGAACCGTAAAGTGTTTCGGAGAGGTAAGGAACGGCTCCGGCATCGGCAATTAAGGATCGACTTTCGGGATCATGTTTGGAAATCAGGCGTAACTCGCACAAAGCTTCAGTTCGGGTCTGCTCGGAAACTGAGCTTAGTTTGGCTACCAGATTCCGAGCCGTTCGGCGTTTAACTTCCATTGATTTGGGTTTGGTGGTGCAAATGTTGGGTAGAAAATGGTAGAATCAAAGGGAATTTGGGAGAACCAAAACCAATAATTTATTTTGAATATGACTGAGGCAACGCATTGCTACTATTTTAGGATAATTATAAATTAACATCATCTTCAACCAGCCCCAGTCTAAGTCGGTTTTTCCAATAGCATAAATTACATAAAGCATCACTCAACTTTCTTCTTACTCTTATTTTGGACACTAAAAGTTAAAAAATTTAATTTAATCTCTGAACTTTTGAATTGCTTATGCTATAGCTACTTGGCCGTTTATCTATCTAATTGTCCTAACTTTGTATTTTTATTAATTTTTTAGATTGGTCTCTAGGTCGATCGTTGTTTCCTATGATAGTTAAACCAAAAATTTATAGAATGGCTTATTTTAATATCGAAAATCTAAATTCAAACTTTGTTTCACCTGAATTCATAAATCTTAGATAAACCCTAAACCCTAAATCTAAATCAATCCATAATCATTAAATAATAAGCAAACTCTAAAACAGATGACCCATGTTCAAATAAATACCAATTTTATCATCAATGCTCTAGTGATCGGATGGAGAATCTCAACAATGAAAAGGTGGACAACAACGAAGAGAATAATATATCTAAAATCATGATGATATGATAGTTTAATGCTGAGATCAGTGAGTGAGAATACCAAAAGTTTAAGAAATTTTGAGAATTTTGTGGAGTTTCCATGAAAAACTAAACTGAATTACTTATAGAGGAACAAAATATGAGTTAGACGACATTATTGTTGGTCGAATGATGAAGTTTCAATGGATTGAAATTGTAGAATGACATATTTGTGGAGCTTGGGGTGTTTATTTTATCAAGCAAACATCGATTTTATGTTTAGAATGGTGACACAAATTTGGTAGAAATTTTGGGACTCGTTAGCCTCCAACGATGATGGTTGGTAGTGGTTAGAATAATGATGGCACGATGGTCAAAATTTGAGTTTGGTTTAGATTGAGTGAGAGAAATTGAGTGAAAGAAGAAGAAAGAAAGAAAGGAAAATAAAAAAAGAAAAGTTTTTAAATAAGAACCTAAAATGATGCCATTTTGATATAAATTGTCATGTTATAGCATCGTTAATTTTCTAAAAACGGCGTGACCAAAACAATAACAATTCAAAAGTTGAATGATTAAATTAAAAAATTTAAACTCCAATGATCAAAACAGGAATGGAAAGTAAATTGAGTGATGAAATAAAGTAATTTACCCATTGCAATAAAACTATTACAGGATAAATATAAAATGGTATATGAAATGAAATTTCATCTATAAATAAAATTTTCATTTAATAAACTTCCCTCAGAATCTCAAAATCTGAAATTCTTGAAGGAATGATTTCATTGGGGATTCCATAAACTCACTTCTCTTAAACGACAAACCATCCTTGGTGATGGGGCAATGCTTCCACATGAAGGGAAAGCCATGATGACGATGTTACCTTGTTCTCCAAGCAAACTTGCCATCAGTGAGTCTTCCAAGGGCTTTCAAAACCTTCCATTACTTGAATGTTTGTCCACTGCTAAACTTCCAAAGTTCAAATCTTTGCCCAAAACAGACATGATTATGTCATTGTTGGAGTTATACATCCATGGCTGTCCATTGTTAAAAGAAAGTTGCACAAGGGATGGAGGGAACGACTGGGACGACAATACATTGCCACGTTCCTTTTGTTCAGATTGATAATAGATTCATCTATGATTCTGAGTTGGGGGATATATGCATTTTCAGACAAATTGAGAATCTCTTGCACATATCTTCATGTATCGAATTTCTGGTTTCATGTCTTGTGTTCTTAAGCATGTTCAATACTGCGAATTATTAATATATATTTAAACTTATATATATTAAAACTTTGAAAGCAGTTACGTTAGACGAATAATGGAATTGCCCAAGCAGAGACGGTATTTAGCTGCAGAGCTCACGGGAAACGCCCAATCTCAAATTGGGCACATCGAAAAGGATCCTATGGTTCTGTTGCTGCATATTGGCTATCACATTCAGCACCGAATTCATATTATCTGGTGCCGATGCCATCGCCAAACATGTGATGCTGCTTGCTGTGCTGTGGATTAACAGGTTATCTTCTGGCAGTGTCACGTTCATGCCGGCGAACATCAACGTTATCGTTGGTGCCACTATCGGTACATTGTGTAACATGTATTGAATATTCCGAGAGTCGTCACGTTGGCAACCTTAACATGTCTCTGGAACTCATCTCTGACAGCAACATAGGCTGGTGCGACTAGCCGGGTGAAGACGATACGTAGGTTCAACGGAAAAAGTTTAAAGGCGACAATTTTAAATGAAGCTTTTATAGTTACATTTCATGTAAAAGATTACCGGAATCAGTAATGGTGCCGGCACCAGTGGTGGTATTGAAAGCAATGGCAGATGGTGGGATATCAACAATTCTGTTTCCAACTCTGATTCCAATCAGATTCACAAAGTAAAGCGATGATTTCCTAGGGTTCTTCAGCAACGGGGTGGATTGATCTTCAGGGGCTGCCCAACTGGCCTAGGTCTCAATCACCCAGAAAAGTTCAAGGACCTAAAGTTGGGAAAACAGTAAGAGAATGTGGATTGGTACAAGTCTTGGTTCTGAGACAGAAGGGACAATGGACCTCGACCAAGCCCCAACAGACCCTGTGGTGGCACCGAGTTGCCGGTCGTCTGCTGCACACAGCCAAAAGTGTAGCCCGGGACAGAGTCGGTGGCTAAGGCGGTTGTGTCCTGTGAGAGGTTCACTGCAATGGTGGAACCACCGTAGGTCATGTTGAATACGCAAGTGTTGGTAGTGGCATTGCAGCTGGGATTAGGCACCTGCTTGCATTGAAGAGCTTGGCATCCGAGGGTGTGGAAAGTGGTGGATTTAGCATTGTCGAAAACGGTGGAAGAGCAGTCGGTGCAAGGTATCCAAGCCGTGTCGTTGCTGGTATCCATGGACATGAGCAAAGTTCGAAGTGGGGTTCCGATGGTGGCTCTCACGATATAAGTTGGACTCTGCACCATCTGCCTTCCGGAAGCTATTGGGACCACGGATTTCTTGGCAACAAGGCTGGACAAGTATTGACATCATCTTAACTAAACTCGAAACTCTTTTTTGGGAGGCTTGAAGGCGAGAAAATAGTTCACAACTGGACTAATTTCATTTTAATCCCCTAATACGCTAAAATTATAATTAATCCATACACTTTAATTTATATATTTTAATTATTTACTTTTATAATGTTATTAGTATACTAATATTGATAATACTATTAACTGTTGTCATTAAAATAAAAGCAACTTTAAATATTTACTTGACAATAAATTTATTATTAAATGAATTTTCACATATTTTTTAACGTTAGATTAAATAAACAACTAAAAACAAATATAATGTCATCCGTTTCATCACAATAAAAAGACTAAAATCAGAATTAGACAGTTAATAATTGCACCCATTTTATTAAGATTTGAACCATTTGGCATATTATTAGGGTTTATGTTTAATCCACTGTTGATTCAACATTTATTTATTTTTTATGATAAAAAGAGTCAATTATATTTTATATAGTATATTTCCATTAGTATATAAAAATTAATTTAAAAATACAAACTTTTTCGTCATCATTTATATTTCAATCCAAAACAATATAACATTTTATCTATAAATCATTCAATATAAATCAAGCTTTGCATATAAAACGTTACTATAACACAATAATTAAATTGTATTGTCCTTTCTTCCTCTATCGTTCCTTTTTCCATTATGTCCCTTTTCCCTATACTGTTTCATTTACTGTTATGTATCTTTTACTTTACTATGTCCTTTACTGTACTATATCTTTTGTTGTAATATATCTTTTACTATATTATTTCTTTTAGTTTCAATATATAGCTCAATGTATAATCATGAGTATTTAGCCCTTATCGAGGACATAATCTCTGATAGGAAAGTATGGAGACTAAAGACTAGGGTAGTCGAGTAGTGTGGGTCACATCTCTAGGGTGTATCATCTCTGTCTTCTTTTAATGCCTTTGTAGTAATTTCCATGAATTCTACTTTTTATACGTTTCTATTATTGGTATTTATGTAGGCTTAGAACTGGGCTTGCTATCGTGGACTTCTGTGTAATATTCTCTTCACTTTTAAATTTAGTCGGGTCTTACGTTTCTGTCTATATGCAGAGATTTTTTCGCAGGGATTTATTTGCAGGGATTACTTCCCATTTCAAACGCGCATATAATATTAATGATATTTATGACTGCATATGAATATTGTTCAACTATGTATTTATGTATTTATTTATACATGCTTTGCATTTTATCTATATTTTTAATTTTCTGACTGCCGGAGGTCTTCCACGGAAGCTACTCTCAACCTGGCGTTGGGGGCAGCCTACTACCCTACCTCCCCTTACCCCATTGCATATGGGAATTGGGTTTTGTTGTTGTTGTTGTTGTTGTTGTATAATCATGAGGATACATAGTACTCGAGTCAGTCATGAATATTTAGTATGGTATGTAATGTATCTGTCTATAACTGTATGGCACATAAGTGCCCTGTATACAACATAGCTTCCAGTAACGGTATGACACATTTAGTGCCCAATATACAATATAAACTGATAGAGATGCGGCAACGGATGATAAACGTTGCTCTTCGTTGGAGAATCAAACCTAGAAAGCTCTAGACCCGATCAAAGAACAAGGGAGAAAGAAGAGGAAGTTTTGGGCATTGGTAAAGAATGTAGGTATTTGGATTAATGTTGTTGGAAATTGAGACAAATAAAAAAGGACTAAGACAATGAAAAATAAGGATAATAAAAAAGATGAATAAAATAAAGATAAGAATATATAAAGATAAAATAGATATATGTAATGGAAAGGTTAAACTTAGTCAATGGAGATGGCAACAATAATGGAGAAAAAAAGATAATGGATTTGTGGAAGATGAAGATAGATGGATAAATGTCATGTCGAACCCTCCTAGCCGCAATGAAAATGAAAACTTGATAATACGACTCTAATCAGCCCTCATAATCAC